ACAATTACAAAAAACAGCAGAGCTTACTCTACAAGGCATAACCATTAATTTTATAACTGACATCCAAATTCGCATCTCCGGAGTTGAACCCACCTACCAGCCACCTGCACATTTCTGCGCACATGTGCTGCGCAGTGTGCACAGTCACTACACATTACACAATTATGAGAATTAAAATAGTGTTAAACAATCAAGCAAGTCAGGACTGGTATGCAGATTCACAAGTTCTCTCAACATCTTCTATTACCAACAATCAAGAGCACCTTGTGATCTCAGTAACTCCGCAGATCCATCTTCTGTTTTCCATTTTCAGTTTTCAATGGAAATATAAGTTCCATCTGGGAGACACATGTTGCATCATTATGTTTAAACAATTATTATGCTTGAACTTTTGATTTTTCATGTGAACTTCACTTCAAAAGTTGATTCAATTTTTAAAGTTGATATAATTTGTATAATGCTACGATCACGGCGCACCAATTCACAGATAACTTGAAAATAACCAAGCAAAAGCCACATTCTTCAGCAAACTATGAGAGCTATCTGATCCATGCTGCGTTGAAATAATTGAAAATCGCCAAAATCAGTCAAAATATGACAATTAAATTAATATAAACTTCACAAAACTCTGATTTGTGAGGCAATGCGCAACAGAAATGCGAGGGAATATGGTAGTAATCTGGTAGCAATTATGAAGGATTTCCCCTGTCGCTGATGAAAAAACACTTGAAACAAATTTTTCAACGCAGAGGAAATCCTTCATTATGAGTTGCAGGGACCATTTGATTGGCCCATTTTAGATAAATATAGGCCGAATGTTTTGATTTCAACCCCATTTATCGTAATGAGACGAATCCATTGGCTTAGTGGTACGTCTTTTGAACACATGTAGGCCTTACATTTCTCCTTAGCCCGCCTGAAACACACCATGCTTTGCATGCATTTCTATGGGTGAAGGAAAATTCATGCGCCGTGATGACGTCACGGTAAAGGAATTCTGAAGCTCGTGAACGGGGGCTGGACGATAGTATAGGCAGGTAAATATATTCCTGCCCGGGGCCGGGATGATTCAATAAATGTCACCGAGGTTTTGCTACCGAGGGCCGTTAGGCCCGAGGTGATTTTGCTAAAAAAGCGAGGTGACATTTATTGAATTCCCGGCCTTAGGGCTGGAAGGTGTTTCCCATACCTGCCAAAAAGCTCACAACTATATGATAGTGACGTCAGCAGCCGTGTGGTTCAACGTGTTTAACCACACCCCTTGAACCACACGGCTTGTAATATTAAAGCATTGCATTAAACTTTGAAAAGTGTGGTACAGTGCACGTGCCGTTTAAATGCCTGGATGTCTCGATTTAATCATGCAATGTAGCAGGTATGGGAAACACGATTGACGAAAGCATCATTAATAGCTCGAAATAAACGATGCAAAATACCACTATCAGAGGCCTGTTTCACTAAAAACTTGCGATTGCAAGTGTTTGAACTTTACAATTCATAAGTATTTTTGCAAACTATGTAAAATCGGATTTCACTAAACTTCACCACCAGCGGTACCTCCGCTAAAAAGAGTTAGCAAATAAACTTGTAAACAGTAAAATTGTTTTTAATCAAGAACTATAACATGTTACAGATATTGCTTCTTTTTATCATGTCTAGTATTCATGTCAAAAATTGCATAAATAAATTATAAATAATAAGGCTGATGCAAAATGGTGTAAATGATAGTTCACAATATCCTATTACCCTCGCCCCGTTGGGGGGCATTTTGGCCCCCCCCCTGTGGTTTTTCCTGAATAGCAAGAAAACGGCCGCGCGCAGCGCCGCCAAATTTTCAGTACCTTCCCGGGCATCAATTTGACACCTTAACACCAAATTTCAAGTCTTAGGTCACCTTAGGTCAGGAGTTATTGAGGTCAAACTGAGGTCATGTTCGAGCAAAAATGAGCAAAAAAAACATGCAATCTTTAAACGCTCACCAAATCTACAGTTATCAAGTAATTTCAAAGTTCTTTATATGGTCTAGTAGACAAAAAGCGGCGCTACAAAACTGCTATCTCGGATTTTCAAAATTTTGGGTTTTTGACAAAAACAAAATCAAAAAATTGTTTTTTTAGAAAAAATTAAAAAAATCAAAAATTTTCAAAATTTCGAAAAAACCGGAATATATGTGATAGTCCCTGCGCTCTTCTATATACATGCCAAATTTCAGATCGATATCTCGTTTTTTGGCCAAGTTATAGCGAAAAAACTGTTCAAAAATGATGATGTCAAATTTTTGAACTCATTTTTTAGCGATTCTAGACCTCGTACGGCAAAACAAAGACCACCATTGAACTCCCCGTGACGAGCTGCGTCGATTCGATACCCATTTTATGCAAAAATATCAACTTTGAAATTTGACCTGAACTTGACCTGACCTTGACCAGAACGTGACCTAAGCTGGCCCCAAAGGCTGCCTGACCCACATAATCGCATTTGTCATGTAAAATGGACCATAAAACACGTATCACACGACACTTTCATATTGTGAACCCCCAGTGACCTGACCTCTGTGACCTGACCTGGTATCAGTGACCTCAACTAGCAAAATATGTGTTTGAAGAACATTTCCCCATCGATGATTTTCAATGAAATGCATTTTACTCGATTTTAAAACGCATTTCTTGAAATGCCTGTAAACGGTGAAAATTGGACCTTTGACCTGACCTGTAACGTCATCGGTTTGACCTAGGTGAATAAAATTGGGTCACAAGGTAGTTCCCTGATAGGGCTATCCAACACCGTTTGCCGCTTGTCACTAGGTTGCGTGGTTCTCGAGATCTTAGGGGGGGGGGGGCCAAAATGCCCCCCCCCCCCAACGGGTTGCTCGGCAGAGCCCAAAACGGGGCGCGGGTTAAAAGAAAACAACACACAAAACATTTGACAGCAGAAGACAGTTGAATGCAATTATGGCGCGCGAATGACAAAACATGACGATATTTATTTATTGCTCGTAGCTGGTTCGTAGGTATTGTGCTAAGTAAAAAAGGGCATATATGTTATGGACTCAGCATAGCATATTTGTTTAAAATAATTGATTGCTTTGCAGTATTACACAAAAGTAACAAAATTCCGAACGTCAGGGCCACTGGAATTTCGGGTTTGTAAGTACAACGTTTTCTTTCAAGTTTGTGGTCTTCGTGAAACAGAAAGTTTGCGATTTCGATGTTTCTTACAAACTTTTTTTCTTGTAAAAAAGTTGGTAAACTGTAAACTCAAAATTCATGCTCGGAGGTTTCGTGAAATCCAAATTTCAAATGTTGGTAATTATTTCTTTTAAACTCAAGTTTTTTCTTTGTAATTACAAACTTTATTTGTTAGTGAAACAGGCCTCAGAAGGCGAACTAAAGTCATTGCTTCTTTATAAGTCGTAACGTCACAAAGTAAGAAGTTTTCCGTGGTATTACTATTTAGGCATGTACATGGCGCGACCTTTGGCTTCCCGCAGATTTGGTTTCCAAAACAAACCCGTTCATGGCCAATCGTTTGACGACAACCAGTTTTTTTTGTAATGCTAGTTATAATATAACCGCAGTGATACTCTCAGTTAACACTTAACAGTCGTGTTTGGAGCAACACATGAAACTGAATGAGTGCACCGTGGCTCAAAATGTCTCACGCTTTAATTTTCGACGGGTGCCTGGCCGTCTCCGCTGTTGTAGCGCTGTGGCCATCTGACGTCCACACACGACTTTTTTGGTGGTGCAAAGGGCACAGTACCTCAACTGGATATTCGTACTGCCACAAAATGTGCTTTAGCTCACTTTTTTGTTAAAAATAATAGGCTTTTTGGCTAAATTGCAGCGATTTGCGCTGCTCTTTCGTTAGTTTTGGCATATTTTCCATTTCAGAGGCCCCAAATTCCAAAATTTTATCGACGATAGGGGTGAGAAGTAGACTGATGTTTTGTAGCTAGCCCTGATCAGTCGTTTAGCTGGATTGCAGGTAGATCGCTGACGTTTGTTGACCATGTCATGGCAACCACCAGCTTGACGACAGGTGCATGCTCCGATTTGGCCGCGCCCAGGCTTGTCAACCATCTTATCTCTCGCTCTCTCTGGCTTCGCTCGCTGATATAACTGCGATTTGCTCACCCCTACCTGCTTGCAAATGAGCTGCCGGAGCTCTCCATCAAGAACCACGCCGAAAGTCCGTTTACAAAGTTCAGAACTGCACTTGATTCACCATGCTTGCCTTTTGGCGGCCTATGTCTAAAAACGGAAAGGGACTCCTATTTGCTGACTCTGGATAATAATTGACTCGAGTCGAGACCGGTCATCAACAGCATACGGTCTCCAAGCTCGATAGCTGAGGGATGTCTTACAAACGTATGATGCTACTATCTCATTAGAATCGAGCGCAATCATACTTTTGGCCAGAAAATAAGTCTTCGGTCAATTCTGGGACACCCTGTACCTTCTCTAACGTCTGGTTGGCCGCCTCCCCGGGACCGTTTTCTTAAGGATTTGGTGGCGGTGGAGGAAGAAGGCGAGAGATTGGCCGCGGGATGGGAGCTTGCATACATGGGCGGTGGAACGGAGGGGGGGGGGGCACCAGGGCACTATGCCCCCTTGATTTTGCCATTTTAACATTAGCCCTATGGGCGCTGCATGGAAAGAATGGGACCAAAAGTCGGCACTGCCCCCCCCCCCCTTAATTGAAGGTATTCCGCCGCTACTGGGAACGGAACCAAGGAGTTAATCACTGGGGGACACCATGCACCCAGAAGTTCACGTCGTAGACATCGTTACACCTGAGGAAGAGGGAACGAACATTGATCGACGAAACGGACATTGAGCGAACATCGACGAACGAACGAACGAACGTTGAGCTACCACTAAATATTGAAGTAGGGATCTGAAATTTTGAAAGACATGTTTTTTTTCGTTAAATGGCACCGATTGAAGGTATTCAAACACGATTTTCGAAAAAAGGACCATCCTAGGCCGCCCACCTACCCGGGTACGGTCGCAGTTTGGCCAGCTCTGGTGTCAGACAGTGCTTGACCTCGTCCGGACATGGCGCAATGTCCAGCTTCAGCGTCCCGCCGATACATTTCAGTTTTTTCATGGCGTTGCTGGGCCGCTTCAGGTCTTGCAGGTGTTTAAACAAGTCTTCCTCCTTCAAACGGTCGCTTTCCTGTAATACGACATGCCTGGTCAACTTTCTCAAACACACCCATTTATATATATATATATATATATATATAGAGAGAGAGAGAGAGAGAGAGAGAGAGAGAGAGAGAGAGAGAGAGAGAGAGAGAGAGAGAGAGAGAGAGAGAGAGAGAGAGAGAGAGAGAGAGGGGAGAGAGAGAGAGAAAGAGAGAGAGAGAAAGAGAGAGAGAGAGAGAGAGAGAGAGAGAGAGAGAGAGAGAGAGAGAGAGAGAGAGAGAGAGAGAGAGAGAGAGAGAGAGACAAACACGATCGTGTTTGTGTGCCATTATTGTCGAAAAGTGTGAACGATACGCCGATTTATTATTCTGACGAAGATATAAGCATATACATATATCGAAACGTCATAAACGAGTCTGTTCTCTATTTTATTATCGGCATTGGTCTGTTAACTATATATATATATATATATATATATATATATATATATATATATATATATATATATATATATATATATATATATATATATATATATATATATATATATATATATATATATATATATATATATATATATATATATATATATATATATATATATATATATATATATATATATATATATATATATATATGTTTTATTAAAAATGACCGCGTTTTTTGCCTTTTCACGTTTCTTTTGAAGCTTTTCTATCGTTCTTATGAGTGTTTTTTGCTCAGACGTCAGATCAAAGATAAGATTACCAAGTGACATTTATATGCATAATTCGACGTTTCAAATAGACACCGCTATCCATTTTCAAGATAACATGGTTCGCTCGATGCTACGTTTGCAAGCTTCGGTTTGCAATACATAAATGACAATAATAAAATGCAAGTTTGCGCGAGCCTAATTTCCTAAATATCTTACATCATACAAACCAAGATACCTATAAGAAACAGGTAGGTCCGATGTTTTGAGTAAAGCCCAGTAAAGCCCTGGTGACGTCACTGACATTTCTTATATGGAGAATTTCGCCCATAAGGAAAATATTTTACATACGGAAATTTGTATTTCATTAGGAAAAAATACATTCTTTCAATTTCATCATGAAACTTATATAATTTAATTAAAAAAACTTGAAATCCTTTGAGTGCTTGTCCCAACCCCTGCTATACCTTTGGTCACGTGACTTCCATGATAAACTTTGCGTTTTGCAATGTTATGACTTAAACAGAAGCAATAAATGTTACAAGCGTATTATTTATGATGTTTTAGGCAGCAATCGTGTAATAACATCCTTGAATTATATACATTCTGCTTAAAAGAGGTCACGTGATGTTACCAGATTGTGCTCGGACAGCATCTTCTTGAACTTCGATTTTGAGTACTTTTTACCTTCATTGAGTCCTAATAACGGACGTTTTTAGTTATAAAATGAAGCAATGAATCTATTGAGGGCAAAATTTAATCATTTTTGCACTTTCAAGCCGGGCTATCCTGGCATGAACTTCGGCCGGTTTGTGTGTGAAGCCTATGGTGAAGGGAAAACTTCACGCCCGGCTGACGTCACAGACTTCGGCTACCAAATCGTGTCCGGTGGGGGTCGATACAAACATTCAATGGACGACAATCACATAAATCGCACCGCTGCAGCACAGTAAGTTGTCTGCTCTAACCCATGTTCTCATGCTGCTACACTTCCCCAGAGTAAAAGATTGGAATACTGTTGGACCTGTTTGTTAAGCGTTGGTCGCTTTTCATGTATGTGTAGTGCTTCTAACACTGCTAATTTTCGCTTATCGTGACATGATGTGATGATGGTGGTGTTCTCTGTCAGGTGTTGTCTTGTAAGTGTTGAGCCGTGTTTCTCATGCATGTGTTCTTTTGGTGCTCCATCTCTTAAATGCATAGTGAGTCTTCTAGAGAGCGAAGTTGTAGTGACACCAATATAGGTTTCTTTACGAAGCCTGCAATCTTCGTGAGGACATGTGAATTGATACACTACATTGGTGCACTTCAACTTATCTCTGCTAGAGTTGATGTTGTTTTTCATGACAAGGCTACGTGTTTTCATGTTTTGGTAAAAGATGACCAGTTGTAGTTTTTGGTTGTCTTGTACACACTTAACATTTTTCTTTACAATGTGCATAATGACTGTTTCGTCAACCTTGTGGGACGTATTCATGAAGTTTGAAGCGAACTCTGTACTCCGGTACACTTTTGAGAAAAGTATCGACAAAACGTTAGCCTTTTTAGACGTTAGCGTTACTGTGGAGGAAAATAAGTTCACAACAAGTGTTTTTCGCAAGCCTACAAACACAGGTCAGGTCATGAGTGCAAAAAGCGAGTGCCCTGATAAGTATAAAAAGAGTGTCATCAAAGCATTTGTAAGGAGGGCTATTAAGGTTTCATCTACCTATGACCTGATGCACTCTGAATTCACAAGAGTCAAACAAATCTTAGTCAACAACGGCTATTCAAATAGGGCAGTAGATGCTGAGATCAAGGCGCAACTGGAAAAACACATGGATCGTAGTGACGCAGTGGGTGCTGGCACACAGTCAGAGACGCATCTTACATTGTTTTATCGAAACTTCATGAATACGTCCCACAAGGTTGACGAAACAGTCATTAAGCACATTGTAAAGAAAAATGTTAAGTGTGTACAAGACAACCAAAAACTACAACTGGTCATCTTTTACCAAAACATGAAAACACGTAGCCTTGTCATGAAAAACAACATCAACTCTAGCAGAGATAAGTTGAAGTGCACCAATGTAGTGTATCAATTCACATGTCCTCACGAAGATTGCAGGCTTCGTAAAGAAACCTATATTGGTGTCACTACAACTTCGCTCTCTAGAAGACTCACTATGCATTTAAGAGATGGAGCACCAAAAGAACACATGCATGAGAAACACGGCTCAACACTTACAAGACAACACCTGACAGAGAACACCACCATCATCACATCATGTCACGATAAGCGAAAATTAGCAGTGTTAGAAGCACTACACATACATGAAAAGCGACCAACGCTTAACAAACAGGTCCAACAGTATTCCAATCTTTTACTCTGGGGAAGTGTAGCAGCATGAGAACATGGGTTAGAGCAGACAACTTACTGTGCTGCAGCGGTGCGATTTATGTGATTGTCGTCCATTGAATGTTTATATGATGTAAGATATTTAGGAAATTAGGCTCGCGCAAACTTGCATTTTATTATTGTCATTTATGTATTGCAAACCGAAGCTTGCAAACGTAGCATCGAGCGAACCATGTTATCTTGAAAATGGATAGCGGTGTCTATTTGAAACGTCGAATTATGCATATAAATGTCACTTGGTAATCTTATCTTTGATCTGACGTCTGAGCAAAAAACACTCATAAGAACGATAGAAAAGCTTCAAAAGAAACGTGAAAAGGCAAAAAACGCGGTCATTTTTAATAAAACTTGTATTCAAGAAGATATCCTGCCGAAATATACAAATATATATATATATTAGGGTGGCACTTAATTTCGACTTTTTTAATTTCGACTGGGACGGGTAGCCATATTGTTCTACCTCACGAAAAAATGATATGTATGAAATTTTATCAAAAAATATTTATATTTAGAGGTAGCTCAATGGGGTCATACTTGGTACATATTGACCAAACGTATATTGTGAACGGGCATTCAGATATGTGTCGCGCCCTTCCAAGCATTGTCATATTTGAGCTGTAACACGTTGAAGTGAATGATAGATGACTTCCTATTTGTTTCATAACCACAGTGTTTCTCGCCGCAAACCCGCTGTGACGCAATGCGTGATTCACCCAATGGCCGTTCAGCGTAGTTTAGCTTATTTTGTTCGGTGACGGTAGCTCGCTGCCAGGCGTGCAACTTCAGCTCTTCTCTCGTATTACGATGGCAGGGGAAGGGTCACAAGATTGCTAGCACCTACCGGGGTTACATGAGCAAATAAATGCGTATCAGGAATTTTCTTCGCTGAGTATTGTGATCCGTTTGTAATAGGTACGCATTTACTCTGCTCATGTATCCCCGGTTACTGATGCGCAGGGGGACACTGCCAGTGTACGGCCACAGGGCAGGTCTCCGTGTCTTCCTGATGTCAGGGAGAAGACGTGCACGTGAAAAGGTAAGTTGTGTTTTGCTAAGCCATTTCAGAACATTTTTCGCTAGCCAGGCTCAAATTGACAGGCCGCAGCAAACGCTGTACTAGAATGCCTCGATTAGTGAGAGTTGAAGGATTGAGTGAAAGCGCTCAGTTTTGACACAAGTGAATCGAACACCGGCCTCAATGCAGGAGCCTGCACGATCATCGAGCAGCGGCTCTTCTCAGCCTCCCGGATGGGTCCGCCTTCACGCGGTGGGAGGTGTGGGCCTCGTGCCCGCCCCCGCTGGGGCGACCAGCGGAGGAAACCAAACGGACCCAAACTGCCCTCTTCGAGAGGGTCCTGCTGGCGGCTCCCCGTCGCCTGGCGCCGCTCCGCGCCCCTTCTTCTCCTCTACTGCTCTTCACGCGCCGGGGCTGCGTATGCCCACTGCAGGTCCAGAGCCGCGTCGCACGCGGCCGGACCTGCTGAATGAGTAGCCCTACGGCCGCGCCCCCCTCCGAGAGCACCGACGGAGGGGGTGACGACCGGGGGGCCCGAAGAGGACAGCATCGAAGGAGAGCAAGAAACCGTCGCCATCGTCGCAACCGAGCGCAGCGTAGTCTCCTCCACATAGTTGGTTGGAACGCTGAGGGGCTCCGGACCAAAATCCCGGAACTCCAAAGCTGGCTCCCGTCGGTCAGCGCGGACGTGGTGGCCATACAAGAGGTCCAGCTCTCCTCCAAGAACGTCGTCCGCATCCCGGGCTACCAACCCCCGGTAGTCACGAAAAGAGAACGCGGCAGACAACTAGGTGCGGCGACCGTGAAGGGCGGAGACGTAGCAATTTACGTCCGTGGTGGAATCCCATTCACCCCCCTGACCGGACGCCCACTCGCCCCCTCAGACGACAGTACTGAGGTGTGCGGCGTGCGCATACTC